GACGACCCATTATAGAGTTCTGGGCTTTTGTTAGGCATTGCAAAATAAAAAAAAACTTGGAGTGGCAATCATACTCCCAGGCCTTCTGCGTGGAAATCAAGTGCTCCACCAGAGAGCCCTAAGCCAGTGCTTGAAACTACTTGAGGAAAAAAAAAGGTCTTTAATAATGGCATACAATGCAACGACTATCTTTAACGCATGTGATGTTGCTTGGCTGAGTCGTACAATCACGCCAGACGTCAGGATGTGAACTGCCCAACCATATAAGAGGCGCGCCCTTAACAAAGCGCGAAGACACATGCTGCAACAGCGTCTACAAAAGAAGCAGTGGCGTCGTTTCGCGCATTGCCTTGCAGACGCGTGTAGTGGTCACTTCTTTGATCCGCAAAAAAAAAGGCAGATCCTACGCACAGTGGGAATCGATGATATGCGAAGCACGAATGAGAAATGTTGATAAGTCCCTTTAAAATCAGCCCAACGTTACGAGGTGGGGGTAAATGATGCCGTACATGACTTCCGTGTCATGATTATCATGTTTGGATCTGTCGTTTACCTTCGTCATCTATTCACGTCACGTGATACTAAATTTTGTATATGTAGAGCTAGCAAAGCGGCCGCGAGCACGCTATGAGAGTGGCATGTTGTCATGTTCCTACATGAAACACGTGTCAGGATAATCATGTTTGTACCAGTCATATATTTCGTCATCCATCAACGCCACGTAACACCAAATTTGGTATATGTAGAGTTAGCAAAACGGCCGCGAGTGCATCATGAAGGGCCCAATACACTCCAATGTAGTGGTGACGCGCGCGCACGCTGGGCACAGTGACGCTACGTTAGCAAAACGCGAGCACTTATAGTCTGACACCAGGTGTGACCAGCGTCCGTCCGCTCGGCCCGACGGCAACCGGCGCGAAATGCGACATCGATGCGTTACACAGACAACACTGGATGGATGGATGGATGGATGGATGGATGGATGGATGGATGGATGGATGGATGGATGGATGGATGGATGGATGGATGGATGGATGGATGGATGGATGGATGGATGGATGGATGGATGGATTTATGGATGGATGGATGGATGGATGGATGGATGAATGGATGGATGGATGGATGGATGGATGGATGGATGGATGGATGGATGGATGGATGGATGGATGGATGAATGGATGGATGGATGGATGGATGGATGGATGGATGGATGGATGGATGGATGGACGGATGGACGGATGGACGGATGGATGGATGGATGGATGGATGGATGGATGGATGGATGGATGGATGAATACGCTCAAAGTCGCCGAAGTTCAATAAGAAAGGCTTCGCATTTAGAAAAAAATGTGAAGTAGTGACTACTTCACAACTGTACTTGCAGTAGGCATTCGAGGATAACTTAAAGCTATCCTCGAACGGCCAATGTCACTCGCACACACGTTCCTTTTCTTGATGGTTCAGGTGTCCACTTAAAAGCGAAACATCATCATCAGCCTCACTGCGCCCACTGCAGGGCAAAGGCGTCTCCAATGTTCTGCCAATCAACCCGGTCCTGTGCATTCTGCTGCCGCATTATACCTGCAAACATTTTAATCTCATCGGCTCATCTAACTTTCTGTCTCCCCCTCAGTGGGCCGTCGCTATAACTGTAATTAACAAGACTCAGTCTGCGTACAGATTTGATTACATCGTAGTAATCCACAATTTCAACTTCTCTAGTAACATCGTACAATAAAAGTATGCACTAATTGATTGTATATGATCTAGGGACAGATATTTTATCGTATTGAGTGAGTGAAACAACCTTATTGACGATCCGGCATAAAGGGGGAAGGGGTAGGGGGATTAAAGCGAGACACTAGCGTGCTCGGACGTCCCGGAGCAGCAACCTACTCGCGTCAAACCCGTGGGCGCACCACTTTCGGCCGCTGGTGTTCCAGGATGCTAAGCACGTGCTGGACCACGTCTCTTTGATTGCCTGGCTCTCGGCTGATAATTTTGCTGCTTATGGCAGTTGGCATTACTTCTTGGTTACCCGGCGGTGGTGCACAGTCCCAAAGGAGGTGTCTCTGGGTGGCTCGCGCCTTCTTGCAGTGTTGGCATACATCAGTGGTGTAAACCTCCGGGCAAACGTGCTTTGCCCAGACGGGGGTCCATATAGCGTGTACTTGCAGCTGCCGTAGTGCGGCTGCTTCTCTGCGTTGTAGGTCTCAGTGAGGCGGTGGGTTATCGTATTAAACTTTTAAAGGCGAAGCTTAAGGATCCTCCCATTTTGAAGCATAGAATGAATGTAAGCGGTTCTCTTAAACTTTATATGCTTGTTACGTTCATCTGAAAAACTAGATAGGTGTTGCTTACCATAAAACAACAAAATCAGGTAACCGGATGGTTCAGGGGGTGCAACGCTTGCTGCTATTAGACGCTTTTAGTTGGGCGTACGTAACGAGCCTACGTACGCAACACTGCCGCGGGAGAGAACTGCGCATGTGCAGGACGTAACGTAATAATTCCAAGGATGCGCGCGTACACCCGTAACAAGACGCTGCGTACGTAACGCAATGCTTACTGCGTTACGTTCTTGCGAGACCTCGAGGAAACCAGAACGAGAGTATATGGTGGCTGCAGTGGCGTTCGACGCAGACAGCAACAGCGTACCCAATGCAAGGCATGTGTACGTACTTCCCAATGAAAGGTGATGTTTTCATGCCAGACAAGGTACATTCAAGCGGCGCTTTCCGGCATCCTGATGATACAGAAGAAATTGCCGGGCGTCTCACGAAAATCCTCAATAATCGCCTTCGATAGGTTGTGCGCGGGAACGTGCTTAGTTCTGCCAGGCCTCTCGGTGAATGAACCCGTAAATGAAACGGAAGCTTCGTATGTATACTTTTATTCACTGTGCAACGTAACACGTTCGATGTTGTGCGAGCTTTCACTCATTAGATGTGCCGGTAGTACATCGTAGGACCAAGAATAACTGAAACGTGACCACTTGCTGCGGGGTACGCTAAGCCTCATCCGAAGGATCACTGTATAGAACGCTGGGGTCGATTCAGTGCAGTCATGCCCGATCAAACGCTGTTCTTACATTGCGCGCCCAAGTTCAAATCAACAAAGGTGCATGTGCGCATTCAGTGCACCCAAGGACGATGTTAAATATATACAAAGCGAACGTCACGGCCTGACTTGAAAGCTGGTGGCCCTTGCCTTGGCAGTCGGGATGTTTTTCGTGTGGATCACAAATGCCACGTTATCACTGGGACCATAGAGAAAGAAGAAGCTGGGACCATGGTACAGGGACCTATAGCATACTTCTAACGCCAGCGGCGCTGATAAGCATTTCAAACCCTTGAAACTCGTATGCGATTTATCTAAAATACTGAAACGCATCAAGGTACGTTAAACTAAAAGCGTTGTCGCACGCTTCACTTGCAGCGTATACGCAACGTAATTTTCACAGCGTACGCAACTTCTCCGTATTCCCAACTAAAAGTGCCTCTTATCGCAACCTTGAAACCGTGTAGAGAGAAAGTACCGTTCATCCGGTTAATAACGCTAAGTGCGATGGGAGGGCCAAAGAGTTTCCTAAAATTAACTAGAGGGAACTCTGGCGCTATGATCGTTCAGCGACCATGGGAATGATGGGCAGTACACACATTTGCCTAGTCTTCGTACTTGCGGACGGCGAATCATACTTGCGGCTTCGTTTATTGCTGTGTTTCGGTTTTGTTTTGAAAGAAAGATTCAACCCTTTTGAACTTCGTGACCCTAATTGGGAAGGTAAGTTGAAAAGAATAATATGGTGAAGCACAACCGCGCTGAACATTTGTTAATATTTTCTTCGTGCGAAAACAGCTCCAAGCCACATGAACACGCACGGAGCCAAAAGCAGGCCAGAAGTACGAATATTAGACAAATGTTTGTACTACCCATCATTTCCATGCTCGCTGAAGCGCCATGGGTTGCAGCTACCATAGGCACTAGCGCCAGTGTTCCCTCTAGTGTACATTGGGAAACTTTATGGGGAGGGCACCCTGCAGCGCTTGCGAACGTCCGCCGTGTCGTACAAAAGGTGTGACCGCTAAATACGCGCCACCAACACTTTTCGCCGATCGAAGTACGCGTCTAGTTTGTCTTTGCAGCGTTCTCGCGGCTGAAATTGAATAAATGAGGCCTTCTCGCGGAATGAAAGGCACTAGGGAGCTTATGTGACGAACATGTAGGCTCCCTAAGAGGCACAGCGAGTTGGCCCCGCCTGCATGATAGTTTCGCCATTCATGGAAGTTTGAAGACATTCCAAAAATGATCGCTGACGACTTCTTGCACACCGTAACCGCATCAGGCTTAGAGGAGGATCTGCGGATGCATTGTCGTCAACACGAATGGAAACGTTCGCAAATGAAGAATACGAACGTTCCATTGTTTCTGAGCTGCAACTGTTGGCTAATTAGTATTGATACTTAACTGCATTATTACTTGACTGCAAATGTTGGCTATTACGTATCGATAACTAAAACTGTTGGTTTATCAGTATTACCAAGAATTAACGCTTCTGTGGAAGCTAATTAGCTATAGACTGCCTGGCGCGAATTCATCTTTATCCGAAAATAGCTTGATTATTGGAGCTTGCTTGCCTGAGCGATTTCTGTCATTTACCTTTTAGAGTTTCAAGGTGGCTTCAAATGGCATAGTTTGCACAAGAGAATGTCAAGCACGCATCTCGATTTATAGATGATTTCAGGCGCGGATGGCGCTCGAGTTACGTTGCAATTTATCACCGTGTCACCGGTGGCGATACAAATATACTTGTTTAATTAAGTTATATGCGTGAATAAGCGAGAAAGGCCTACATGAAATTGCTAAAGCCGTTGTATATAAAACTTGGAAAAAGTTAGTGCTCTGTTTTGGGGATATATAAAATATATGTGACGAATAAACTTGATTTCAGTCTTATTTACATGATTAGTCACAGAGTCAATGCTTTGTCACGGAAGCGTTCAGAAAAAGAATGAACACTTGTGAGGGACATTCATGGGCGACCCTTTACGGCACTTGAAGACGTCAGCGAAGAAAGAAGAATGCCGCAGGGGCACGTTGCACTCTCGTCGCTGGTCGGCGTCGTCTTTCTTGCCGCATAGCACGTAGCAGTAGCTCATGAAAAATATTTGCTTGTCGACAAAGGCTTCCAAGCCCTGAAGTCTCAAGTCCTCCACACCACCGGCCGTGCTTACCTCGTGCTCGGCGGCAGCCTTGAACGCCGAGTAGGACACTTCGAGGGCCGGTATCGCGGGGAGAACACTCATCGGTGGCTGGCCAGGTTCCGTTCCGAGATCGCAGCTGAGGCGACTATTGTACTCGGCCGACTCGGACTTGCCCCACCAGTGAATGCTCTCTCCGCGGTCATCAATCGTAGTGCCTCCGAGATCGATGCTCTTGACCATCTCTCTCATGATTAGCGTCCCCGCGCTGGCGTAGTTCATGGCGAACGTTCCTCCCGGGTAGTAGAGCGGTGGTTCCAACGCCACCAGAGCAGCGTCGACCGCGTTCAGAAGGTACGTGTAAGCGTACGCTTGGCGGCGAAACGTGCGCTGCTTCTTGTAGACGTCGTGAAAGCGCTCGCTCGATTGCAGGCGTTGGTAGACGCTCGAACTGTTCAGCCAGATCTCCATGAACGCCGCCTGGTTGATGCCAGGAAACAAGCCGTAAAGCGTCTCCCTCTGCAGGAAGAAATGCTCGGGGGGCAACGCGTTCAGAAGTATCCTGTCTATCTTGCGCGCCGCCGTTTCCCTTATCTCGCGGTCGACCCAAACTGTCTTTTTCATGATATTGTTGAACTCTGCTCGGAGATATTCCGTAAACTTCACGAATTCAAGACGTATATCCGGCGTGCGGTAAAGGTGCGTTATGTGGTTGCTGGAAGCGAGAAGCGCGAAGCGAGCGTTCACAAATTCCAGGCACGCAAGTTGCTTCTTCTTGTCGATGTTGTCCAGGAACATGAGTCCCGGCTTTCCGATAGCCACCCAAATGTGAGACTGGATGAACATCCAGGCAATTCCGATAAGCAGCTCGGCTTCGCTATACTCGCGAAAGAGAGCGTCGATTCTTTTCAAGATCTCCGGATCGTCGAGAACCACGAAGTTATCCGTTACCCAAGAGAGGCCTTGGTTGCTGTATGCGTTATTGAGGCCCTTTAGCCACAGTCCAGGTTCTATGCTCTCAGTCCGGGGGTCAAGGTCTCCTAGGACAAACCACGTCTGCTCGCCTTGAAATTCTTGGCTGTTGACGTAGGTGAATGACTTCTCCAACTTCTGCAGCAGAGAGGGCTCGTAGTCGACGTATTCTACTAGCTGTAATTCCTTGAGTTGTTCACTGGCCAGTCGCGCGTAGTCCACCAACGTCATTGGATTCTGGACACGATCACTCCAGATTACGCCGTTGTAACGCCTCCGGAATATTAGGACGTTGCCCGTACTTGCATTGGTAGCGATCTCTAGCCTGAACAGAAAATTCAAGTCGTAATTGGCCGCCATATTGATCATAACTTCGAGCGGACGTGTTTTAGAGGCATCGGGTTGTCTAGAGGGCCAATCCAGGTTGACAGCCTGCATGAAAGTGTTGAGCCAGAAAATGTTGTGATAAATATCGCTGTGTTGCGGCTCCAGACACTTGCCGTACATTCGGCTCGGCCTTCCGAATTTCCAAATGTCGGCTTCGAGTTCTTTGATCGTGTCTGTCGTGGCGTCTTGGTTTAGTTTGCCCTGTACAGATATGTCGGGAAAATTCTTTTGCCAACCGTCGCAAACGAAAGCGTAGAAGTCGACGCATGGGTCGTGGCTGGTGTTTATCGTGGCCGAGAGTCTCTTGGCGTGCTCGATGCATGCGTCCGTGATACAGTATCCGACCTTCTTGACGTGTCCCAAGAAGAGCAGAACAGCCAGGGCGCACGCCAGCAGCACAGATAAAAACACGGCCACTGCCAGCACCAGCTGATCTCGACGCCGTGCCGACGCTTCCTCGTGTGTTGACGGCGCTGTCCTCCTTAAGCTTGCTCCACCGAGCCCAAGGTTCTGGAATGGCATCACCATACGTTAATCATTGACAAGCATAAAAGTGTCTCGTTGGTATCTGGTTTAACGAGCGTGTGAGGTTTAGTTTGCACAAAGCAGAACACGACAGGGAGAACGCAGACGACACAGGCACTGACAAATCACCACATTTACTCGATTGTGACACGACGAGTGACTTTGCGTTGCATCCAGGAAGAAAACATTGTATTATGGTGTTCTATTGCAACAAGCGGGTCGACTTTAGGTAACAAATATCAGGCAAAAGCTCGCTTTACGTTCGAGTAAACAGGGTATGTCCAGCTGTTTCGCCATGTCTGCTTTCTCTTATTTACTAAGGTTTTCAACTTTCTTTGGATAAATTGTTAGGAATGTTTAATCATCAACCTTACTATATTAGTGCCTTCCTGACTTGTCACATAATGTCCCCATAAAAGCAAATACTTATTTTAATGAATACAGGCATTATATGCATATCCTAGCAACGTCATAAAACTTAACTCACCCTGTCATCTATATATACCTCCGCGTCGCTATACATATATACCCTAAAACACTATATTGGTTTCAAAACTTTCACCTTCACAGCCCAGAGTACAAAAGGTGCTGTATGACTGGAAGACGACGAATTGTCACTCATCATTTGCCAAATCGAAAAGGCGCGTATATGATTTCTAGAATTTATCACAGAAATATACACAAGCTAATTCAAGACAGTACCAGCATGCATGCATGTGCGTTTGTCTCGGCACTTCTTTTGTATATAAATAACTTCATTACCCAGATTTAAGAGGACCGATTCAAACAATAATACACATTTATCACTGCTAAAAAAGTATATTTGGCCTATGACAAACGAGCGTACTACGGTGATGGATTTCATGCTATAATAAAGCAGCCACACTGAAGGTACAAATGCTAATAAAGGGGTGCAGCTGCGTGATCGCTCAAGATGTGTGCGACATCATACTTCTGTCTCACGGCAAATCTGACGTCAATAAAAAAATAAAATGTGGTGACATGGGGTGTCGTTTTACCAGCTTGCTGTCGCAGGACAAAAAACATAATATTTTAAAGGGATGTTTAGCCCCCGTGAGCCGTGGCTATGGGAGAAGTTAAGGTTTCTAATAAGCTTGCATGTAACATGCGTGTATCCTCGAAAATAATATTTATCGTGAAAAATCTGGAGCACGATTATATGCGCAGCTGTTTTACACGTTTTGCCACACCAGCGCAAAACGAACGAAGTCAAGCTTCTGTTCAAGCCAAGAACAAATCGAAAGCCAGCCTGGCTGATGATATGATCAGTGTTGATTGATATGTGGGGCTTAACGTCCCTAAACCACCATTTGATTATGAGAGACGCAGTAGTGAGGGCTCCGGAAATTTCGACCACCAGGGGTTCTTCAACGTGCGCCCAAATCTGAGCACACGGGCCTACAACATTTCCGCCTCCATCGGAAATGCAGCCGCCGCAGCCGAGATTTCAACCCGCGACCTGCGGGTCAGCAGCCGAGTATCTTAGCCACTTGACCACCGCGGCGGGGTGATATGATCAGTGTTGAATACAACAGAGTGCAGGGCGCGATTCACTCTCAAGCCCCATAAATGACACAACAGCAGCTAGCTCATGTATTCACTACCTTGACTGCCAAAACACCCCAGTACCCGAGGGCCACGCAAAAACGGAAACAGAGCACAAATGAAGCATAGCCGACGTCCAGCCCGTCCATCTAGCGTAGTTGCGAGCCAGCTATCAGTTAACCTATCAAAAAGAAGTTGTTCACAAACAACAAAAGCAACAGTCTTCTTAAAAGTTGCTTGGTGTCGATACTACGCATTTAGTCCAAAATCAAATGTGAAAGTGTTTCGTGCACTCATGTGACAGAAAATGTCGCTTTCGATGAACAGCAGTAATTTTCAAGCGTTACAAGAAATTACAAACTAAATACATTCCTTGTGCAGTCATTTAGAGTTGCTGTTTGGCAGTGGCGTAAGCCTCCCCTATTTTTCACTTAGGGAAACAATTTTTCTCGTGTAGCAGTTTTGGAAGTTTATCAAGTCATTCCAGGATACACAGACCAATAGTATGAACTATCATTAAGCGAACAACTTTAGGCATACTGCTATTGTTAAGCATGCTAATAAGTAAGTGTCTCAGTACCACCGAAAGAACTGTATTACGCTAAACAAAAACACAACAAGCTTGCACGCCTTGTGCCGTAAACTCTATCATAACCAACTGGGATCTCTTCGTTGGTGACGTACAATTTCTGTTACCTAATTACCAGTGACTCAAAGAGCCATCCGTAGGCGTTTTGAAGTGACATCTCACTGTGGCTGTCTAGATCACGTGAAAGTTTCTGGCTTTCTCGTTCTTAGCAGAATTACAGCTACAAGCTATGCATCAATTATATCGTGCTGTAAGCGGGATTTCTTTGTTTGTTTGCATCCATTCCTAATTTCTATTGTGTTGCTATCCAACAAACTTTTTTTTTATCAAAAGAGGTGGTTGATAAACATTTTGTCACAAAATTATTCGAGGTGTCCCTTAATGGCGACATGGTGGCAATAATTTCCACGTAGGAGCGGTTGAACCTTGACAACTTTAAAAAAAAGAGCGCCTTTTTCCATCGGAAGTTTTCAGCGAAACATTACTCTCCAGCAGAATTTGATGAGAGGGGGGGGGGGGGATTCTAGGGTATCTTTTTTGTCTACTGTACTGCACCCATGTACCCGACGGTGATGTTTGGAATTCCGCTTGAGTTAACAGGATATTGTTACGCTTACAAGTTAGTAAGAATATTTTTGTGTTGTCAAACATTGTTTAATTAGATCAGATATTTTAACTAACTTTTGAAGTAACAAAGATAGATAAAACATTTCAATAAAAAAGTTGTTGAGGGGTTTGGAAAACGTCCATTGAAGTATTAGTGTTTTTCAGCTAATTGAAAATGCCCGCGAGGTACAAAAAAAAAATACCACGTGACAAACCCTCTCGTGCGTCAGTGCGCACGACGATTCTAGTGCTCCCTAACGTTCCGCGTACAACAGCACGCTTCCCTCGCAGCGGTTCATGACAGCGATAAGCAGTCACAGCAGTTATCGTTTTTGGGGCTGATAGGAAAACGTGTTCATCGTAAAGCCACCACCATCGTTGCTGCCCTCCCGAGACAGCACAATAGGGCAAATGTTGTGGTCGTTCGTACGCGAAACGTTAGGGAGCACTAGAAATATTGTGCGCACTCGCACACCAGTGGTTTTGTCACGTGGTATTTTTGTATTTTGCAGGCATTTGTAATTCGCAGAAAAACACTAATACCTAACACATATAATGTTCAAAACTGTCTAATCGGAAGTTTTGCAAACCTATCTACAACTTTCTCTTTCGAATTTTTTAACTATCTTCGTTTCTTGAAAAGTTAATTAATTAAACTGATCTATATAAACAATATTTGAGAACAAAAAAAATAGTCTGACTAAATCCAGGCAACGGTGAGAAAAATGCATTTGGTCACATCGTAATCGCGTGTGCCGGCATATTTTTAAACTCTGGCTAAAGTTACCTGGGAAAGCCTGCATATTTTACGTTGGAAAGAACACCAACCTATTCGCCAATTTTTTGCCGATGCCAACGGGATGAGCGCTGCCGTTTCATGTGTCGCACGTCGGGAAAGGACGAAGTGAGGCCAACGTGGTGCTATTGGCGTCGCGCGGCGTTCACACCGGCCTCTCCAAACGATTGCACGACAAATTCATTCACATGCAGAGCATCGAGTGGTCCAGTTTGGCCGTGTCGTGAAAATCATGTGCGCAATACTTAGCTCGACAACCAAAGTGAAATACAAGAGATCCAATTTTGCACAGCACGATACGTAAGTTGTAAAACGAAACGGGTCAGTTTACTCACAAACAGTCGGCCTGGTCTGGACTCGTATTCGGTGATGGACTTCCGACTGCGCATGTCGCTAAGGGCCTTCCTTTTGGCTTCGATGTCAACCATTGACTTCTTTCTGCGAATATTGAGCGTGGTGAGAAACTTTCCTTTCGAGGCCTCGACGTTAGGACAAGCGTTTTGTTTAGTGGCTTCCACTTCAACGATGGATCGGGTAGGACGAACATCCTCGGACCGGCGAGTGTGAGATACGGCGGTCGCTTTCTCCACATCCTGCATCGGAGAAGCGTGTTTTCAAATATCCTGAATATTTCTGATACACGAAAATGGCCGTAAAGTTTAGCGTGAAGTTACTAAACCGTGATCGGTTTTGTTTAAAAGTTGACATGACGTTGACGCACTTTTAAGTGTATAGACCAGTGGATCTCAGTTATGGATGTTTCGGAAACCCCTTGTGGATCGGTGGATGTGATAGCCATCCCTTGCAGCACGGGAAATGTGGGAGGGGGTCATAAATTGATACAACGTGCAGAATGAAATTGGTGCACTTTATTTCTTCTTTGAAAAGATTGGTTAAGCTAAAGTCTCGCGCCAATTACATCTAGGTGGCTTGGCAGTAAACTCTGTGGTCTGCAGCCACATTCTACCTGTGGCAATCTCAAGGAGGATTTAAAAAAATCGATGGAGTAAAAATCATTGCCTAGGAGTGAAGCCGTCCATCTGGCAAGATGGTGGCTGCGGCGGCTTTTTACTAGGTGCATGATAAACTATCACCGTACAGCGATTAAGAAAGGGAAGTTTATTGTACACTTAGCTTGTACGTACACAATGAAACATCGAAAACAATTAAAGACAGAACACATCTTACCAATGAGCACCAAAATCTAATTGATCACTAGGTATCGAAGTGTTACAAGTCAAAGTAAAATAAAAATAAATGAAGTTATTCACATTTTACATGATAACACTTATCCATGCGTACTAGAGTGGGCGCATGGCTAGTACTGGACAACTGGAAACCACAGCTGTCCCTCTCTTACTTTGAAGAAACGTGTGTGCCATCGTCGAAGGAAGGCCTCTTCGCCATGCGTTTCCAGCTGCTGCTCTAGGTAATTCCACACAATGAGCCGTATTTCGTGTAGTGCGGTATAGGCGCCTCCTTGTGGCTCTTGCCGTACTTCCGCTAAACAGCGTCGCCAACACAGTACGTACAAGGTTACTCTAAAGACCAGTCTTGCAAACAGCCCACGCTCTGTTCCCATGCGCGCCGTGCGAAAGCCAAAGAGGCGTTGTACAATGTGCCAGACGCCCCTAACCACCGAGCACTGAAAAAAAAAAATGGCAGCATATCCACGGAGTGAATTATGGAGAGTGGGGTGAAGAATTCGTCCGTCCATTCGTTCTTGCTTCCGTCCGTCCATGCGTCCGTCAGTGTGACCGTCCATGCATCCATCAGACCGTCCGTGCGTGCGTCTGTTCGTGTGTCCGTCCCTGCGTTCGTCTATGCAGCCGCCCCTGCGTCTGTTCATGCGTCCATCCATGCATCTGTCTATGTCTCGTTCGTCCATCTATTCAACACTCCAAGTACCACCATCTCGCATCTTTTCATCATATATGCCCCATATAGAAGCACCGCCATCCAGCGGACATTCCTAGGACTAAACGAAAGGTGCCACACGCACAATTTCTTACGGCTTGCGCTTCGGGTCCACTTCCCACCTTTAACCACCTCGAGTTCATGGTATATACTAGTTCACTGTATTCATGGCACTGCGGCCGAACGCTCGCTAATCCTTTCGAAAACCAAGGAGGTCACGCCCAGCGAGTATGGCGTAGCAAACTTTTTCAGTCAGATAGTGCTTAATGTACATGCCAATGGCTGCTAAGGGGAAATGAGAGGCGAAGAATCCGGCTTTTACTTTCTTACGGCTTGCGCTTCGTATCTACTTCCCATTTTTAACCACCTCGAGTTCATTTATGGTATATACAAGTTCATTGTATTCATGGCACTGCGGCTCAACGCTCGATAAACCTTTCTAAAACTAAGCAGGTTACACCCAGCGAGTATAACGTAGCAACCTTTTCTTGTCATATAGTGCTAAATGTACATTCCAATGGCTGCTAGTCGTGATCGCAGCCTGCGCGTTAACTAAAAGCCGAATGCTCCTGTCTCTCATTCCCCATTAGCAGCCATTGACATGTACATTGAGCACTATTTTTTATTGTTCAACAACGCACAGAAGAAGTCTCTCACCGGCACCACCTTGGAGGTCAAAATGTTATACTTGTTAAATACTACGGGAAACGAACGGGTGCCGCTATAAGGAGCTTCGCCCCTAAAAGAGCATGTTGGGCCGTCTCTCGTTTGCCGAAGTTTGGGCGGCGGTCATTTGAAACGACTCCCCATTGTGCTAACCGTTCACGCGAAGGCAATGCCCTCCATCTTCTCAACCCAGTCAAATTCGCGGACCTGGTTAGGTACGCGATTGCAACGCCATCCTTTCCATTTTTTCGTGCAGGATGCTGTTTCTTCCTCTTTGCTCAGTGTGCTACTTCTCACCATTTCGCTTATTTCCTGCGATGAAACATCTTCCAGAGTGCATGAACCTATTGATTCCACTGTTCATTTTAAGCAAATGGCAGCTCTGCAAAAGTTAAGCGGAATTTTCACTCGTAGTTTGATGTACGTATTGGCCATGAAAGTACATCTTAGTGTACTGCTCCAGTACATCAAGAGCCTATAGCCCGGGGTACTTGCTGTCATCCAACAGCTTCTGTGTTGTTTTTGCAGCCAGTGCTCTCGTCAATGTTGGTCTGTCTGGGATGCTCAAGCCTCCGTGGTTTATGGGAAGCTGTAAAAATTTCCTCTGTACCTTCGCTGGTTATCTTCCCCAGAAGAAGGTGTCCACCATGGAGGCGAGGCGTCCTGTAACACGGCGAGGTAGAAGGGCGATGTGTGCTATGTAAAACGCAAAAGCGCATGACTGTGTCTTGATGACTGTTGCTTTTGTCGTTAGTGACAGGTTAGAATAAGTGGCTGCTGCTATGACATCAGTGGATCTCCTAAGCACGTCATCCCAGGTCCTTTTTGAGACATCTCCTTCCTCAAAGTAAACGCCTAACACCTTATCAGCTTGAACGTATTCTAAGTCTCCTGGCAATAGTTCTTTGAAGCCTGCAAAGCGCAATGCCTTACTTTTGGTGGTGTTTAAAAGAGCACCAGACAGATAGGAATACTCAGCAAAATGTCAAGGAATGTACTATAGCTAGACAAGTTACGAAAAAATACCAAAATATCATCGACGTATGCGACAATTTTGAAGGTTTCTTCGCCTGGAATCGGGAAACCCATCATGCGCTCGCAGTTTGCAACCTTTCTAATCAAAGGCTCTAGAGAGAAAATTAATAATAACGGCGACAACGAACAGCCTTGCCTCACCCCTTTTTGAATAGCAAAGCTTCTAGTCACTTCGTTGTTGAAATAAATACAGCTTGATAGATCCTGATAAAGTATTTCTACCAGTCGCACATACTGCTCTAGGAGGCCAAAGATGTGCAAAATAGCGAAAAGACACCGATGTTCAACCCTATGAAATGCTTTGGCCTTTACAAGAGAAATGTATACTCCTGAGATCTGTTTTTCTTTGACATATTCGAAGAGGTCTCTGATCATTGTAAGAGCTACGAAGATGGAAAGTCCTAGTACTGCACATTGCTGCAAGGGGGACACAATCTCTTTCAAGAGAGGCTGCAGACGCGTGATAGCAGCGTGGCTACTAACTTATAGTCTGTGTTTAGAGGGGTAATGTGCCTCCATGATTTAGGATCGGATGGCTCCATACCCTCTTTCAGCAATAGAATCATTCTTCCTTCGCAGAAGGACTGCGTTTTTTGGTCATCACGCAACAAAATATTCGCGAGATCGGTGATCGCATCTCGCAAGATATCAAAGAAACGTAAATAAAATCCCGTAAGTATTCCGTATGGACCTGGTGACGTGGACGTATTCACTAATTTCAGGGCGTACCATACGTCTTCATTATCAGATTCTGCATATAATACTAAATCGTCTTCCGAGCCTATAGCGATGGCAAACCTTCGCAAAAGGCTGAGAGTTAGGCAGTAAACTCGTCGTCCTGTGCGTCATGGTCTGCGGTAAACATTTTTGCAAAGTAGTCTCGGAAAACTTTTTGAACTTCATCCGGGTTATTAACAATGGTACCATCCTCTTTCAGCGCCTCATCGATGTAGTGGGGCTGGCATCGACGATCGCGGTTTCTTTGCGCAAATGTCAAGTTTTCAATTTCATCTGTCGATAAGTGTATTTCTCTTGCGAGCCCTGTAGCCTAAGACCTCTGCTTTGAAGATTTTTATATTTAATTTTTTTTGCGCTACAAGGTATTCAAGCATAGCGAACGTAGTTGACCCACATCTTTCAATAATTTGAATACGGCAGAGAATCTCATTCATCTTGGCCGTGAGGCGAGCGTGGCGCGCTTCTCTTGCCTTTTGAGCTATGAGGCGCTAGCGAGATTTTAAGTGGTCCCATGTAGTCAGGGTTATGCAAATCACTTTTGCCAGCGAGGCCGCCAGCTCAGTTTGAAGTACGGAAATGCTTTCGTCATCGTGAAATATAGTTGGGTCTATCCTCCATGGTTTGTGGATGCTCGTTGTTGGGCTCACGTTAAACGGAAAGAGTAACAGAGCGTGTTCGCTGAATTTCTGCTGGCTTGGCGCAAGCTTGACCACCTCGCATGCTTGTAGGTTCACTAAAAAGTCTTCGGGCACTTGAACTCTATCGATTCGGCTTTGGTGAATGTCACAAGCGCGGGTTGCGATGAACCCGAATCCATGTAGAGACCAATCTGTCAGCTTGAGATCTTGAATTAATTGCTGTAGTTCTCGGGCGTAAAAATTGTTGGCGCCTTGGCTGGGACCCCTGACATGTCGTGTAGTATCGAACACGCAGTTGAAATCTCATACAAGCACATAGGTAGGTAGGTAGGTAGGTAGGTAGGTAGGTAGGTAGGTAGGTAGGTAGGTAGGTAGGTAGGTAGGTAGGTAGGTAGGTAGGTAGGTAGGTAGGTAGGTAGGTAGGTAGGTAGGTAGGTAGGTAGGTAGGTAGGTAGGTAGGTAGGTAGGTAGGTAGGTAGGTAGGTAGGTAGGTAGGTAGGTAGGTAGGTAGGTAGGTAGGTAGGTAGGTAGGTAGGTAATCAACTTTATTGATTCACGAAGGAATCATTTGAGGGGGGGGGGGGGGGGTGTGGTTGGGGAAGTGGAATCAGGATGACGACGAGCCCTCGGGCTGCTCTAGGTGGCCGGACACTGCTGTGCTTCGGCGACCCTTCTGGTCCGGAGCTGTAACCCCGGTTGCGAGCTGCGCAGAGCAGCCTCCCATCGCTCCTGATGTTCTGACCCTTGCCATGGAGGCTTGGGTTTGTTTGGACAATTCAGAAATATGTGCTGGAAGTCGGCTCTGGTGCTAGGACATAAGTTGCAATGAGGCGAGGTTTCACCATGTGTAAAAAAAGAGAGAAGAAAAGGAGTCGTTACTGTGGCCGTTTGAAGTCTGCGCCACAAAGCCTGGTCACTTCTGGAGAGAGATTTATGTGGCGGGGGATACGTTAGGCGGGAATTTCGGTAAAATACCGTGATATCGTGATAGCTGAGGAGTCGATCCCTGGCACTTCAAAGCGAAGGCAGGTCGCTGTGGGCCCGGTTGGCGAGTGCTCGGGCTTGGGTGTGAGCGGCCGTGTTGCCTGGGTGTCCACATTGCGCAGGGACCCAGAGGAGGGTGATGAGGCGATCAGGTGGAAGAGATGATTCAAGAATTTTAGCAGCCGGAGAATGAATTCGGAAAGTGGCGAAATTATGAATTGCAGTTTTTGAATCAGAAAAAATATACTCATCGGAGGAGTGAACAATGGCTAAAGCAATTGCCGCCTCCTCTGCTTCCAGGGATTCTGTCGAATTTTGAAGGGACGCACTAGCGACCAGTTTTTGAAATCCATCTACGACGGCTACCGTGAAAGCTCGATGATCTACATATTCGGCCGCGTCTACATAGACTGCGGGAGAATTAGGAGGGAAGCGCTTCTGAAGGGACTTGGCTCTGGCTTCCCGTCGCGCCCGATTATGTTCTGGGTGAGTATTTTTGGGGAGTGGCGGAATTAATAGGTGGCTGCTAACAGTGACGGGAACTGCGTGCGTGGCCGTGGTGTGACCAGGAACGTTGATTCCAAGTCGGTGCAGGAGTACCTGTCCTGTTTCTGAGAGTGATAGTCTTTGATATTGGCTGAAAAGATGCGCCTCTACAAGCTCTCCCAGAGTGTTGTGCACCCCAAGTTGAAGTAGTTTATCCGTGGCTGTTGATTTAGGGAGATGGAGCGCAGTTTTATAGGCATTACGAATGAGTCTGTTAAGTTGCTCGGTCTCCGTAAGTGAGACATAGAGGTAGGGTATAGAATAGGTAATTCTGCATAGGCAAAAGGCCTGTATGAGGCGGCGTGTGTCTGCTTCCCTCATGCCGCGATGACGATTGGATATGCGCTTAATGAGGGAAGCTGTATTTTGAACTGAGGAGCGGATTAACTTTATTGTGTCAGCATTCGAGCCATTTTCGGAAATATTAAGGCCTAAAATATTCATTTTAGTGACCCTGCGAATAGAGGTGTTATCAAGCATGACATGAATGTGACATGTATCTTGCTTTTTAAAGTCAATTACTAGGAGTTCCGATAGCCGCCGAGCAGGTGAACCCAATATTGTTGGCATGTTTAACAACAATGTCAGCGGCCAACTGAAGCTTCGATTCGAACAAGCACATATGATATCGGCTCGATCGAAAAATTTCTGACACCTTTATAGAACCCGTTCGTTTCTGACCTAGTTACGGGCGCATATACGTTGACAAATCTGACTCGTTTGCAGTTAAGTACCATATCTACTGTTATGATGTGGCCTTCGGTGTCAACAAGACAGTGAGCACCCCTCCTCATCGTTGCGTTCACGAAAACAACTCCTGTGCCACGTGCACGCGCATCTGGAGTGATAAGAAGGCCTCTACATGAAACCTTTTCTGAAACTCTGCTACGTCAAGCTTAGTACGAAAGTTTGTCTACTGCAAAAAGAGCATGTCTACGCGATGCGCCCGCGCGAGGTCAAGTTCTGCCTGCTGCTTCACCGGATTTCGGAAACCACGAATATTGAACGACATAAAAGAAAGTGATACCATTGTTGAAATAAAGGCGAGGAGGTTGCTTCAAGGAAAAAAAGGTAAAAGAGAGGAGAGCCAAATGCTAAAAGTAGATATCGTCGTCGCTCACAGTTGGTGACGTTCGCCGTGGTGGTGATCCCACGCGGGGTTTCTTAAATGTTCCCTGATTAGCGGAGTCGCTGCCGCTGCTCCCACTGCCTGGCCCATGGAACGGCGTTGTCAACCCGAAGGACTCGATGCAGCTTTAGATCGTGCGGGTTTGGTAGAAACCTCTGTGTCCGCCGGTTCGCTCCGCGTTGGTGGTCGGCTTCTTAGCTGCTTCAATGTCGAAGGCGTAGCGTTTATGTTCTTCAATGTCGTCGAAATTCCAAGGTTAGCGTTTAGTGTGCTGTCACTGGCATCTGTCGCTGTCGTGGCAGAGGAAATCAAAGCAGTGCTTTTACGGGCGAAGCTCCTTAAGGCGTGGCTTGTGCGTCCCTCGTAGTACGTAACCACTAGTGGCACATACCCGAAATAGCGGTCCTTACAATTTCGACCTCCAAGGTGCTTCCGGTGAGAGAGTTCTTCTGTGCGTTGTTGAACAATAAAAGATAGTGCTCAATGCACATGTTAATGAATGCTAAGGGGGATTGAGAGACAGGAGCATTCGGCCCTTAGGTAACGCGCACGCTGCGTTCCCCATCAGCAGCTATTGGCATGTACATTGAGCACAATCTGACAAGAAAGGGTTGCTACGTTATACTCGCTGAGTGTAACCTCCTTGGTTTAGAAAGGTTTAGCGAGCGTTGGACCGCATAGCCATGAATACAGTGAACTTGTATATACCTTGAACTCGAGGTGGTTCAAGGTGGGAAGTAAACCCGAAACGCAAGCCGTAAGAAAGTGTGCATATGCCACCTCCCGTTTAGTCCTTGAAATGTCCGCTGGATGGCGGTGCTTCTATATGGAGAATATATGATGAAATGATGCGAGATGGTGGTACTTGGAGGGCTGAATAGATGGACGAACGGACACACAGACAGATGCATGGATGGACGCATGAACGGACGCAGGCGCGGATGCATGGACGAACGCAGGGATGGACGCACGAACAGACGCACGCACGGACGGGTGGATGGACGCATGGACGGTTACACAGACGTACGCAGGAACGGACGGAAGCAAGAACGAATGGACGGACGAATGCTTCGCCCCACTCCCCGTCATTCACTCCGTGGATATGCTGCCATTTTTTGTGATGCCTCTTCTCGGACGCAATTGATGCGCTGCAGCTATGTCGAGTTTCGATGCGCCCTACTGGAGAAGATAGATCACTGGAAGTTTCCGTGGAACTCTCATTTGGGTGTTCATGTGTCGTCTTAGCGGGCTGTTCATCTGTAGTTGCCCCGTCTGGCGTACTGGCTGGCTTGACACGAGTAGCGTCTTCCGACTGCACGTGCGTCTACGAAATCATCGGTCAGGCTCTCTTAATCCCAGTGGTCTGGTGTCTTGACTCGTGTCGTTTTCTTTTGAGGACGCAGTACTTCATAGGTTCTAGATTGCTTGCCCCGCCGCGGTGGTCTAGTGGCTAAGGTACTCGGCTGCTGACCCGCAGGTCGCGGGTTCGAATCCCGGCTGCGGCGGCTGCATTTCCGACGGAGGCGGAAATGGTGTAGGCCCGTGTACTCAGATTTGGGTGCACGTTAAAGAACCCCAGGTGGTCAAAATTTCCGGAGCCCTCCACTACGGCGTCTCTCATAATCAAATGGTGGTTTTGGGACGTTAAACCCCACATATCAATCAATCATTCTAGATTGCTTGGCCACACTTCAGGAGCTTGAAGAGGATTCTTCAATTGTTGGCAAGTCTTGGACGCTCGGTGACGGCGTCTTCTGACTGCATCTGCGTATGCTCGGCGCTTGAATCATTTTTTGGTCGAGTATTCACCTCCACACCTTCTGCAGGCTTCAGTGCACTTTTCTACAGCGTGTCCGTACGCGCTGCACCTATGACAAAAAGGTGTTGCACAGGCCACGGCCATGTGACCTTCAATGTGGCAACGCGCACAGACGCGACGCATGCGACGGTATTCCACCATAATGCGATGTCCATGGATTGAAATGAAGTTCGGTGCCGGCTTTGCCATTTCCATCTTCACCACTCATGTACCGGTAAATGTAGACTGACGTCGTTGCAGAGTAACATATGTAATGCTACGTACTTTGCCGAAAAGCTTCAAAGCAGAGACGACTGCGTCATCGGGTCCGTACGGCGGCAACCTGTACACACTCACCAACACACTTGGTGGGCCGACGACTTCCACTTGAACGGTTTTTTTCTGAAGGACAAAACCTTCATTCACCATGGGCTTGGTGGTTTTTTCCGCCGTCATCATTGCTACCAAGAATTTCAAAGCGGCGAGGTGTTGCAGGAACAACACCCCTTCTCTACCGGAAGTCGGCACTCTCTAGTAAACTTCTTCTGAAATAAATGTTTTTTACCACCACCACCACCACCACCTACCGGTCGTCCTCTTGAAACATTCGATGATCTCATCGACGGAGACCACGCCTTCAGGAACGGTTAACGTTAAACAATGTTCTTTTGGCGGGGTGCATACTGGCCTCGACGATATCCTCCCAGGGGTCGGCGTCTTCTCGGCCGAAGCCCCGGGGAACCTGTATGCGGTTGAGACGCCGAAGGGACGCCGCCAAAATCCTGGACGCACGCGTCGGCAAGAGCCGCACTCACACAATAAACGCGAACGCTGACGAAGAAGGACCGTTTTCCTCGCACAACCGACGAGTTGAGGGTAGTATGGAAACGTGTATGGGTCACAAAGTGCTCGAAGTGCGTCTCAGTGTTACTAGTTTTCCTTAGTGAGCCTCTAATTGGAGGCAATGTTCTTGGGAAGTTCAGTCACCCGTACTCATTTACGTGTGTTATTTCGTCGCGAACAACTGCATTTTAATATAAAACTAACGTAGAGTGTACATTAACATGTCAAAGACACTTGACCTATAAGTGGGCACTGCCAGAAAAGAGCATGTTTCCGCCATCTTGGCAGTAGCAAAAGCTGGCTTCACTTCTGCTGACAAGTACAGCATTTCTAATCCTCTTTGGTCAAGCTATGCTTGCTCTTCAAATATGGAAGCCTAGAAAAATTATGCTTTTGTGCATATGACCTAGAAAGCGGCAACAAAATCTTTACAACATTCTATCGGAAAAGGAGAAACACAAGTAAGCTCAGCCACAGCACAAATGTACTATGCAGTGAAGCATAGTGTGTGAAACATGGAACATTACGTTTTCAAAAACCATACATCTTTTTTTTTTGGTGGAGGGGGGGGGGGCTTTAGGGGTTGGTTTGTGGAGTCCCGAAAATGGCTTCACGGATTCCTGTTGGAGAACCACTGGTCTAGACTAACACTGACTTGGAAAGTTTTGCCTGGATACAGTGTTGAGCGTTTGGGTTATCGCCCGCTTCTCGGTTATTGTACTTCCCGTAAACGTAGCTATGAATCTTGAGCGCCTTTACACACAATATATGCCTTTAATTGTTTTTTATATAGTATTAGCTAGCAATCTACACTCAGTTTTCCCTTTGTTTATTGAGAATTGGAATGAACTGCCTTCATATATCGTCGCATTACATAATTTATTTGACTTAAAGATCCGTTGATATTCCTGTACACAACATCCGCTGCAGATGTTCAGAGCTTCTATGGAACATTTACCAGAATTAAGTGACTTTGATACTGTATGGTACAAGTTATAACCTACTTTGTTGCGCACATGTACAAACGTTTACTCTCTCTTAACCTTGTTACGGTGCTTGGCTGTTAAGGTAGTGCCACCCAAGTATACGAACCCAAGGGGGTCTTACTATGCGGAGTCCTCCATTACACCTCTCATAACCTGAATCGCTCTGGGAGGCTAAACCCGAAAAAAGGTCGACCAACCATTCATTTTAACTAACGCTAAGGACAGCGCTGTCGCGAGACGCTTACAAAGGTCGCAGGTTTGGTTCCTTCCACTGGCAAGTTGCCTTTTCGTCCACTTCACCTGTCTTCACAGCTATATCACAAACATTTCAATACACTCAAATAAATGGTACAATTGACACTTCCTATACTTTATCCGGCTTCATTATCTTCTGCTTTTTATTAGGGTTGTGTCAAACAGATAAAAAAGCCCTGGAATTTTTTTTTCTAGTTCGCGCATAAAATTACTCATGATACCACTCGTCGTCAGACCACCGACGGGGGAATTTTTAGCGTCACAAGCAATGAGCCACAGCACTTCCAATTTATAAAATTCGGAAAATTTGCCTTAAGAAATCAAAGTGGTATAAAATCGATGAACCTGGCTATAGTTAAAAGTTGTATTGAATATGTACAACATCACAGCATGAAGTACTTCCAAGAAGGACAAATTAGTTGTCAGAATATTTTACAAAAATTAATTGAATAAGTTCTTGAAAAAACTCCCAAGCATTTCCCCGAGGGTGAACATGGTTAAGTGGGAATACACGGGGTGATGCTATAAGGGGTATTTATTAATTCGCACTATTATATTCATTATTCACACTATGGTGCCTTTATGGTGTAATGGTTTCTGGGATTCGCAATTTGATCACACGGGGGAGTTTACGTTAACTCACTGGCGAATGCCAACGGATTTTAACTTTACTCCCCCTCACGACGCGTTCTCGACGGGAGACTGAGAGAGAAGGCGGGCGCGTGAGAGAGAGAGGTGCGCGCGCAGCTGCAGCGAGCGAGGAGAGCGGAGGAGCGAGCGAAGGGGGAGGGGGTATAAGGCGCGTTACTGACACCGATATCAGCGTCGCGTCCGTGGCTTATTCGGTAGAGCGTCGCGCTGCGGCCCCAAGTCCTCTTTCTTTTAAAGATAGAGAAAAGACTGTGGACGCCACCGACGGCGGTGGATGGTTTGGGGTCGCTTTAAAGTGTATTCACACTTAAAACAGGTGCCTTTGATCATTTGAGATCATTCCACCGCCAGACGGAAAAGATATCAGCCACGCTATTTCTTTGTACGTGACCTTTGATCCTCATCAGCAGCGCGCGAAACACCCTTAAACCAAGGAATACATTAGGACGCACGAACGCTCGCGTGCGAGCGCCTCTACTAACAGACACAATGATGAAGTAAAACTAGCATAACAGACACGTGACCTTTAAATCGAGCATAATGTGCTACCAGTACTCGGCTCACCTCACTGGACCTTGAGGCGCTGAGTTGGTTTTTGTCGCGTGCTTGCTTTTCTTGCTCGGCTCCTCGGTCGGCTTCCTCGAACCCGTTGAACCCGTCACTGCGCCCTTGGGCGAGCCTCCGGCTTTCAGCTCCCGGTGAGACATAACAGGGCACGTGTCTCGCAGCTGTACTCGTGGGAGGGGAAGGTTGCGATGCTACAGTGGGCTCTTCTCGCGTCCTCTTGGTCAATGTTCGTCCTCACGCCCGGCGCCGGAGTTCGTTTCAGAGGCGGTCTCAATGGCTGTGGGACCTTCACTGTGGTGGAAATGGGCAGTTATCCACGAAGGATGGCCGGTTCTCTTTCGTGAACGAGGGCAGAGAGAGCGTAGAACGAGCCAGTCTTGAGCTGGTCTTTTTCTTCTTCTGCAGTGCCAGCACGCGCTCTTGTTGTGGTGATGATTGCTGCGGCTGCTGCGGTCATCGGGCGGCCACAGTTCCTGGTTCGCGCAAACGAAGAAGATTGATCACTGAAGGCAGAGTGGAGCAAGGAAGAAGTGGGACAAGAAGCTGTAACTATTCTATTTATCGATAATACAGTAATAACAATTATAAAGGACTAAAATAATTATCAAAAAAGTGGCTCTCGTTGGCTACTGAAGGGGCTGACAA